TCCCCTCTGCGTCTCTTTGCCTCCCGCTCCGGTGGAGCCGAACCCTCGGTCAGATCCGGCTCGTGCCCTGCTGGCATTGCGCGCGCTCTGAGCGGGACGGATCTCTGTCCCGAGAAGTGAGTGCTCCACTAATGACACCGTGAATTCAATGAAGCTCCGAATTAGTCATAGCATGACTGCAAAATGTCAACGAGAGTAGCTGTAACCAGGACAATCGAGCTCGTCCTGTGATCAAGTCAAGACAAAGCTGTCAACGCGCGCTACTGCTATATTGCTCTCATCACACCATGACAATCAGTTTTAGTAGTACATAGTAATACCATGACTGTCGGGGAATGCATGGAGGGGTCTTGCAGGGGACGCGCTGAACTGCAGACAGCCATGTAATCTTCCAAGCTCACTTGGTACAACCTCATCGTGTTGCTACATGCGCCTCAAAGCTGACTGAGCCGAAATGGCAATGGTTCAGGGCTTGGTTTTTAGGGGGGGGGGGGGGGGGGGNNGGTACACTCACTGCTCTGCTGTTTGCCGCCGGGTTCAGTATGCACCCTCAGTGCCAAGACGACAGTATCTGGATCCATAAACTTGACTAGTTCCCTCTTCTGCCACAGAAAAGAGGCACAAACCAAACCCAATCCAATACAGCGGCAGTGTCGAATGAAAGCACTCGCTCACAACATCAAGCTGCTGTATTCTTTTTGTCAGAAGTTCTTATACTGGTCTGCCTAAATGTACAGAGAGAAGCCTGCTAAGTGCCAGCAGGTCTACTCCAAAAGCAAACGCAGCTACGAGACTGGAGAACCAGTGCGTCAATCTGCTCTAGTCTGTGTCAAAAATGCCTCCAAGCAGCCGAACAGTTTAGGGTTTGCAGTAGGGCTGAGGGTTTAGGGTGAAATCACCCGATCCCAGCTGAACCTAACAGGGTTTCAGGGCTCTGGGTTTCGGGTTTAGGATGGCGGAGGGTTTAAATTTGGGGTTTAGTTAGGGTTTTTGAGTTAAGAGTTTTGGGTTTCGGTTGTGGGTGTCCAAAGCATCAGCCCTCAGGCTGTTCAGGGGCTTCGTGTTGAGGCTGAGTTCAGGGATCTAGGCAGGCTGCGTGGTTGTTGGTGGTCGACCAGCCCCACTTGGCAAACAGGAAGTGCTCCGTCTGTGTCCCCTTCGATGTCCTCAGTCTCAGTCTATGTCTGGGGTTAAAGGCTCTCGACTGGAAATCAACCCTAAACCCTAAACCAGCTCGGGTTTGGAACCAGGATGCTGTCACGTAAGCTCTCCATCGGCTGTCTTCTGATTCGGACCGTCCAGAAGCAAGACCCTAGTATAGGGGCCTTCATGATTAGAATTGCTTTTTCGTGGGTATGTTGTACTATACCTACAATAAGGAACCCCCAAAATAGTAGGGGTTATCATCTAGGCCCTGTAGTATCCACTTCCTGAAGACGCAGTAGCACTTAATTAGTGATATCCTTCTTGCAAGCTTCGTGTTTCAGCGGAAAAACCTCACCAATTCTGATCCTGGCATGCGTAGCTTCAACAGATGGCCAGGAAGTACAGACAACCGAAAAAGCCCGCAAAGCTATTGACAGCTTTCTTCGCAAGGTCATCCTTAGGCCGGCCTAGGATGCGGTACTGGGTGAGTTTTCAAGTCAGAGTGACATTCCTATGGGCCTTGTGCCTTGGTCCATGGAAGGACTGACGTATCGCCGCGTAAGCCAGGTTCAGGGATCCGGCATCCGACTGGGCATACGGTCCTTCCTGCCTTAATGATTGGAATAGGCTCTTGGAGTGTAAAACAAGAGTATGGCAATCGAAACCTGTAAGGAATAGTAGTGGCAACCCTTCAGGATTTTATACTCCGGTCCAAGCGTCATGTACTCCTTCTCGCATACCACCCAGATTGCACGAGACGAAGCATCTACATCGATCGGCTGCCCCCAAACGCCGCCTAGGGAGCCGATTGCTTTCCTGTCGCTATGCTTCCCGAAACTTGCTGCCTGCAGCTGCTAGTAACTCTCTGGTGCATACAACATACAAAACGGGGTTTCGAGGTCTGATGGCTCACACCTTGAGAATCTTGGGTCTGTGCGGCGCTTTGAGTCTGCATGGATGTACAGGCATTCAGAGCACTGCGTGAATTGAGTGTCAGATTTGTTTTTTCGCGGCGGCTCAAGGTGTCAAGGTGGCGAATCCTGAAGAAGAACGTCGCTCAGTGGACTCGCTCGTTTCCGTCTGGCAGAAGAAACCTAGCTTGAAGAATCAATTTTTTGGACACAAAAGGGATGTTTCTGATCAGTTTGAAATATGAAGAGAGTTCCAAACAGCACAGAAATCTCAGGAGTCATAACGAAGGCACCATTGACGGCACCACTGCCGGACGTACTTCAAATTCAAACGGGCGCATGCTGTGTCCGCTGCCGCTTCCGCGTCGTAGATCCAGCTGGGAAGGCTACTTCTCGCGTCTGTGAAGCCAACGAAAGGTTCAGGCTCGGGATTCGAGTGTGGGGCGAAATGCTGAAGATTATTTATTTGACAACTAGCAAAGTCCTACCTTAACTGCGACAGGTGCCTAGGTATGAGTCTCAGCGCTTCTCCAAAATGAGAAGATGCTCTGCAAAAACAGCCTTGGCCCCGGCAGACACACTGCAGCGAGCCTACCATATTCAGATAAGCACCCTCAAGCCATTGTGTGAGACTCAAGCTGTGCTTGACGAGAGGTCTGCGATTTCTGGCGGTGCCCGCAACCCTTGGCCCTCACAATGTCACAACCTGAACCCTTAAACCTTAAACCCTAAACCCTGTTGGCTTACATTACAGTCTCGGCAGAGATCTGAGCTCCCCACCGCAGGGCTCCCCACGCAGCTGTACAAAGGCCGTGTCTTTCTCGTCGGGCCGAAAAAAGACCTGGTTCCAGGTTACCGAGTTTGGGGTGTATGGTTTGGGAATTGGGCTGCTTCACGCTCACATGTTCAGGGTTGGCGAATCACGAAATACATCCAAATAACCTTACTCTTGCGGGGCCTGCACATAAAGCATGTACAGTGATCCTACCGAGAATCTGGTAATTTAATCACCGAAACCGTAAACCACTAGGTTCCCTAGGCCCGCAAGAGACGGATCCTGCCTTGCCGTCCTGCGTCAGTCCGAAGAGCATGCCAGCCTCTTCCTTCAGGTGGGTTTAGGGGTTGAGTGTTGAAGGGTTCAGGGTTTAGGGTATTGTGCAGGGTTTGGCCAGGGTCTCTACAGATCTTGAACGGATCTTTCAAGGGTGTTTATAGGTTGCTGTGATGTCTTTTTCACGGGTATCGAAAGAGTTTGATAGGCTTAAAAGGGCTCAGCGGCTTCGGCTTGCGGATCCGGAATTAGTGGATTTCCTGTTCTGGGTCTTGGTCTTGGCAGTTGGCACTAGGACAATCCAGTTTGTCTGTACTTGACACCATGCTCGGACTCAGGAGTAAACCAACTTGCCGAAGATCCCGCATTAACCTTTGTAGCAAGGTTACGGCTTCGTGCGCTGATTTTGCAAACGGAGGATATCATCAGTTCTCCATTTGCGCATCACGTGTTGTACGGCACTGCATGAACCCACAAGAAATTTGGAGTTTACAAACCACCACCCCCCCCCTCCCCCCATAGGGTGGGGAAGGTTCTAGAAAGGACTGGGCTCCTGGACTAATGGACTTCTGAAGACGAAGGCCTCCGCCCAACTCTGCTCATATGGGACTTTCCGAAAATTGGGGTACCTTATTTTGGGCTCCTTATAATAAGGATCCTACTATTTAGGGTACTATATTAGGGTTCCCTATTTTCGGAAACCCCCATATCTGTATTGATGTCTGGCACGGTGTGTGCAGAGTGGACACGCTGAGAACATCAGAGGGATGTCAATCCAAATAATTGATTCGGCATTCGTCCTCAGTGGCTTGCATACCATCACGGTGCCGCCGCACCCTGCCAAAAGAGCACCATCAGCTCCAACACTGCACGATATCTGGGTTCATGGGTAGTTGCTAGTACTAGCAGGACTAATGGTGATACAAGTCGTGGTCGTCGCCGTTGCCGCCGTCGTCGTCGTCTCAGCAGCAAGAGTAGTAGCAGCAGCAGCAGCAGGAGCAGGAGCAAGAGCAGGAGCAGCAGGAGCAGCAGGAGCAGCAGGAGCAGCAGGAGCAGCAGTTGCAGTAGTAGTAGTAGTAGTAGTAGTCGTCGTCGTCGTCGTAGTAGTAGTAGTAGAAGAACACGGAGGAGGACATCTTCGTGGTCGTAGTGGCGTCAAGGTAGTTGTCACGTAACGGCCGTAAGGAGTACCATCAGCAGTTGCACTCTAAGCAGGCTGACGTAGGATGACTGCTTCAAACTTCAATAAAGACTGCGGCAACCGTCCAACGGCCGTGAAGTACTTGCAAAGCAAGTGGCAATTGATGTGTGTTTTTGTCCTTACGCATCATAACCTAACTAGTCAAGGGTTCCTGCTTCTCCAGGAATGCCGACAACACCAGGTGTAAGGGTGCTTCAGAAAAGGTGTTTGACAAAGAACCTTTTTTGTTGCATCCCTACTACAGGGACAACTAGATTGAGGTCCCTGACTCTCCTTCTTAGAAGGATGCACACATAGTTTTGGAGCTGGGCGAAACGGCCTTGGCCTGACTAGTGCTGAATCTAAGCAGCCCTTCCGGCCCGACTATGCAGCCCAAACAATGCCGGAGTACAAGAACAGTCAACTTTCAACTCAAAATCCACACCTGGGACACGAAACACGATCCAAAAAGGTAAATACATGAATAAATACATATATACACACATATGCATGCATGTATGTATGTACCTCTGTATTTTGCATGGCTGTGTATGTGTCTGTGTGCCTAGGTAAGCATATACAGATCTGCATATGTAGATCACGGCAAGCAACCCTGCGCCGGTGAGCCATCGGATAGTTCGGAGTCCGAGGAGACAGCCTCATCGGATTCCCGATGCTTTTTCAGAGAAGCCCAACACCCCATAGCATGATGCCGGAACATGAACATAAGTTAAGTTATCGGTTGAAAAAAGGGGGGTTATTGTTTCTGTTGAACATATACCCCTTGATTCCAAAGAACTGGACTCTCTGGGTTAGCTTCAGGGATGTTGCTGCTAACCCCGGCCTACATCCTGAATGATGTTGACAGCGGTGACACTGACGAAACGGCCAAAGAAGGAAACAGACATGTACAAGAGTAGCAGCACGAAGGACAGTCATTCATCACAGATGCCCTGTCAACCCGGGTCAGCGCACGAAGCACTCGGAAACTGCATGTGTATATATGTATTTCTGCATGTGTGCAGGGCTCTGTGTGTATGTATGCGTGTATGCGTAACGTGGTAGATAGATCGTGAAGTCTCTTGCGTTGCAGAGCACTCACTTTCTTCGATCCCAGGCCTATAGAGATGCATGTAGATGAAATCTAGCTGCCCAGTGAGCCCCATTAAGCTGCACCATGGACAGCAAGGCCGGGATGGGATGGGTTTCAGGCTATCCTGACTCGTACAAAGGCAGGGTTCATTCTGCTGCACTGCCCCCCGAACCAGGGTTGCTAACTAAGCACTCATGATCAAGTAATGCGGGCAGAATGTCCAAGCCCAGCTTCAGCTATAACCGGGAGCTCATAAACGCTTCACTCTCAATCCCCAGCTGGATCCCCGAACAAAGCCGCGGAGCAAGTTGGCAGCAGGACCAAGATGACCAGCACATGCCTATGGAATGCGGTTCAATACTCTGAGTTTCAAAGAGCGTGGGGAGTCGAGAATGATGTTCGGCGTATGCTCGGGCTGGACGTTGAAATTTCCGCAGCATTAACATACACTCGTGAGGCGGGCCATCATCAGCTTCCCGACAACGTAAAGAAGATACACAGTTCCTGGCTGCTGATCTCCGAGCTCCCTTCCCTCTTAAGGAGAATAGTTTGAATGATTCTTTTTTGAGGGGGGGGGCATAATCCTGCAGGGACTGCAAGCAAGGGCATGTTTTCTCTCAGCCGCAGTCGCCTTATCCCTGAAAGCCGTACCGCCGGAAGCCTAAACGAACGACCTGAACAGTTTGCTGTTTTGAGCTAGCTGAAGCAACACTGGCTGAGGGCTTAGGGATTCGGGCTCTAGAGACCCCAAAGATGTGGGGATTAGATCCAGGGATCGAGGCAGTTGGCTGATTGTATACTTGAGCTGCGACTCTCGCCTCGGCCTTGGTCGAAGCGGTTAGAGATTCCTACACAGATCCCCTGTTTCCCCACCTCTTACTCCCCTCCCCAGTGATCCACCCCCGCCTAGCCGGGCCACTGACCACCCCCACTCAGAATTGGATTTCGGGTTGGCACCTTTTTCAATGGGCTTGCCGTGAGCACCCCGCCCCAAATTTGGCCCCCTCCTCCTCCCGCCTCCCCCCCCCCCACTCCGCCGCTTCCCTCGTCTGTTCATTGCGACGAGGCAAGGCAGGCTAGCGCTTACATCATTCGTGAAGCTGATGCCAAAGCCTGGGAACCGGAAGGGCCACGCCCTGTACGCCGTTGCAAAGATTGCTTCCGCTTCCAACATATGGGAGGTTGTATACGAGACCAGTGAGAACTGTGATACGATTATTATAGAAACGTCTATGGGATAATGCAGAGAATGTGCCACCTCTCCCGTGGGATTATTGCTCAGAGCCTGAGCATGAAAACAAACACTGACAGTAAAAGGCTTAAAAGGCATTCTGAAGCAAATGCACAAATGACAGTAAAGGGCTTAAAAGGCATTCTGCAGCAAATGCACAAATGCGCTCCTTCACTCAACACCTCATTGTGTGACCTACCCATTGCTGTCCGAAACAATGCACGTGCCTCAAGTACAGCCGGCCCGAGGCGGACGACGCGAAGCGTTTAAACTTTATCATCTTCAGATCTCATATGCGACTGATAGACACCTACATCAGCACGTTAAAAGGATGTTAGTCCGAAGTCGTCAGGCTTCATCCATCGCATCCCCAGCGCAAGATTACTTCAGGAATCGACTTTACATCGTGCTATTCGGCCCCAAGGACGTAAGCTCTATTCCTTAATCGCAGGGTATTCCAAAAAATATACTACACGATACAATAATTATCCAAAATAGATTATGCGATACAACATCGGACCGGCCTGACTCGCTCGTGCAAGCTGTGGCCACTATGGTGCCACCGGCCTCGCGCCGTGCCCCCATCCAACATCCTCGCAGGGAGCACGCGGACAGAACTAGGCCTAAGCGAGTGACGCTTAGCGAAGTAAGGTGGGGATAGTATAGTATCTTATCTGAACATGTATTTTAATAGAATAGAATAGAGTAGAATATAGTGTAGTATAAAAAGCATAGTATAGTATAGTATGATATAAAGTAAGAATATAGTATAGTACAACATAACACTATATAACACAGTATAGTCAAGAGTAGTATCGTTAGGCCCGGCGAAAGAAACCGAGGTTCAGGCATATGGACCCTGAGCGAGGCAAAACCTGAATTCCTTGACTTCCGGAGCAGCCCTAGGTGCTCGGTAGCTACGAAAATAATTCGCTTAGTCTGATGATGCGCTCTAGTTTTGGGTCTGCGCTTCGGCAATCAGCAGCGGGGGCTTCACATACAAACTGCAAACTGCAGGATCAGGGGCCGAGCGAAATTCCAAGCAGGAGAAAGGAATCTTCACCTCTAAATGCAATAAACCTAGTGTAGCAGACACTAGTGAGCAGCTTAGCGACCACACTCGCGCGTCTTTTTGAGCACTGCGGCATGAGTCCCTTGAGCCACCAGGTTGGCAGCACGATTGTCTTGGCTCGGCTGCAAGTCTGCTGCATATCTGGTCAATCATGCTTTCCGAAAGCACTAGTATCATCTCTACAGCACCCCCCAATAAGAGTTGACCAGAATGCCTGACCTTGCTCCTCGTATTCACGGGCGAGCCTAGCTACTGAAGCGCTGTGGCTTCTGCACTTGTTGCGCGGGTCGTTGGCACGGGCAGCGATCTCGGTGTCCACGTCCACGAGGCTGAGCTGGCCGCTCCGTAGGAACTGGTCCATGGCTCCATTGGCCTTCATTGGGTCCGCTTTGGTGAGCACATCGACCACCATTTTCTGGTGGGGAACCCACCTCACCATGGAGCGAGTCTCTTGCAAATCTCGA